TCTATTTTAACCCCAAATAAATATATGAAAAGGTCGTAAAAGTGTGTAAATGCTAATGATTAGCAGAGGTGACCAAACCGAGACCAATTCCAATACATCTTCATACCCTCATCCAGATTTATCACTGCCCAATCCAAATCTAAATATCGATTTCCGTATGTCAGTTTCCCTAAATCCTCGAATTTCCGTTGGCCAAACACCATTTGGACATCGAAATTGGATATCATTCACAGGTGGTGTGTGGTCTGGATCATGGGGGTCAGGAATCGTATTAGTACATCAGCCTTTCCCCTCCCCTTTCGAAGCTAATGTTTCATAGCCTGGAGGTCAAGATAGCCAGCTGATCATACCCGACGGATCCGCCCGTCTAGAAACGAATTATTTACTCCGAACTCATGATGATCCTCCAGCACATATTGCGATCAAAACGCATGGTTGGAGAACGGGTCCACCTGAAATATTAGCTCAGCTAGCGGACCCTGCATTAGCTGATCAAGTTGACCCGAATAGTTATAAATTTAGGATATTTATCGAGATGGAGACAGGTGATGAGAGATATTGTTCAAAGGTCAATTGTGGAATGTGGGTGGGTAGTGGAATGAGAAAGGGGGCGGAGGTTATTTATGAGTAAGTGGTTGTTATCCAAACCTGAACTTTAGTGCCGACTGACGATGTTGATGTAGTGCATATCGAGTATCATAAGACCAGATCCGTAATTACTTTGAATTTCGTAGAAAGCAACGCCTTTCAAAGACGAGAAAAGTGTGATATGTTATCCTATAAGAAGACGCGAAGCTCATATAATAAGAAGTAGTGGGTGCTGTAAATAGCGACCCGGAAGTTCCACCTCTTACATTGACTTTAAGAATATAATATCATGATGGGACATTCAGGCTAGTTTCAGCGCTGTCATTCGGTCCACCTTAGCACTCTAGCTGAAATACTTGATGTTTCTGCTTGTGTACCTGCAATATAAGATTGACTGTCTGGCCATAATTAAAAGCTATGAATGAGATGATAATATATCATGCATCCTGCAGAGTAGTTTAATTTATTTGTTTCCTTATGCTATTCACTAATGATCAATTTTCAAAGAGAAATCGACATGAGGTACGCCTTGATGTATTGAACTCGTGGAGATGATATCTATATCTGTATGTATGAATTAGTAATGATCAAGAGAAAGGGAGGTATTGAGCCTACCATTATTGATATAAGTTTCCACATTCTCAGACGTAAGCCCTCCACTACACTCCAGTAAGAACTCCCTCTTCCCAGCCCACCTTTGCCTTAAGCTCTTCGCAGCAACCTTCAATCCATCTCCCGAAAAATTGTCCAACATGATGATGTCAGCACCAGCTTCAATAGCTTCATCGGCACCCTCTTCGCTATCAACCTCCACCTCAATCTTTAATGCGAACCCACCAGCCGCCTTCGCAGCCTTAACCGCATCAGTAATACTACCCCTAGCCCAAATATGATTATCCTTTAACATAGTCATGCTAGACAAATCATGTCTATGCCCATCTACGCCTCCAACAATCATTCCATATTTCTCCACCAATCTAAAGCCTGGTGTAGTCTTTCTTGTTCCAGCGAGAATCCCCTTGTACCCCGCCTTCCTAACCAAAGCCTCCATATCCCTCGATTTCGTCGCAATACCAGAACAACGACTCAGTGTGTTAAGTGCAACTCTCTCTCCTAGCAAAAGTTTTCGTACTGGTCCAGTGACAGTAGCCACGGCTACTTTTCCGGATGCGCCAGGATCGACTAATGTTCCTTCCTTCATATGCCATTTTACAGAACATCCAGCTTGTGCGAATACCTCGTCGAAAAATGGCACACCTGCTAAAATTCCTCGCGATTTTCCATATAGAGTTGCAGTTCGTTCGCTATCACCAACGACGAATCCGCCGTAATCGAAGGAGGGGGTATCTTCTGCAAACCAGGCTGTGATTTGAGATTTCCAGTGGACAGGAAGGAGATCTGCGGGGTTTCCATGTTCGAGAGCCATGGTTTTCGATGGTTTATAGGACTACTCAGGGTATTTGGGAGGAAATCGTACAAAATTGAGGCAAATAAGTTTCCTTGCTTAAGACGTTGTAGTTATAGACTGAATGTTTAGATGTTCTGAGGGGTCGGTCGGTATCCGAGGGAGGCTTTGAAACTAGGGGACGCTTGGGCCTAGTTTGGCCATGCCCCTCCGCAAAGATAGATCTTGAGCTTGTGAGCTCTCAGAACGATATCGCTTTATTAGTTCATTTCCATCTTGTAAAAGATTTTCTTCCATATTTTCTATCATTCTCATCTTTTGATATATTTTCTGTTTGTATTGTGATAATTTATATAGACCAATAATGTCAATTGCAGCATTTTATTGTATGCTCCATACCAAGCTCAAGTGCCTAGGTAATGCCGACGAAAGAGATTCCCGTAGTTGTGTGTAGGCAACACTCGGCACTAAAAGACAATTTTCGAAGTCCGAAAAACTATAAGACATGAGAGCTGCACAATCTACTCGACATTTTATTTACTTTTGAGCTAGCACCTGTATTCAAATCAATACTTGGTCGAGTGATGATCACGTCGAAAAGACAACCAGAAAATCAACATAAGAAAGAGACCCCCTTCTCTCTAGATCCTCTATATTCTATTTTCTCGTTCACTTCAGTGGATTGATTGGATCCAAAGATGGGTTATAGCGAGACCGTTTGTCAAATCTGTGCTGTATCATTCAATCTAGCAAGGTGCCGCACAAAACATGAACCACCAGAGGCTGGTTGGGGCCATTCGACTAGTATGGATTATGCCAGAGAAGCGAGAACCTGCTATGATTTATCAGAAGAAAGTGGCTGCGAGAAAATTGCCAGAAATGGACCATTGACTGAGCACATTGCTGGCCCAAATTGTGTTTTCGATGGGGGCTACAGCGGATATCGTATTTCAGTGGCACAAATGAAGGTGGGTGTAAATTTCTCCGATAATCTCTCAATACTCACGATTGTAGGATATGATGCTATCTCGTTACATCATTAAGAAACCAGAAAACATTTCTGAAGAGGAAGATGCACCAGACTATGAAAAGTGCAGTGATTACTTTATTACAGATCAGTCAATCACCACCCAAGATCATTGGCAGCCGGGTGAATTGCCCCGTTACCGTTACGGTGTCGATTCGTTCTTGGCTATGAACTATGAAGTTATAGACAAACATGGATTTCCTCGTGCCGTCCCAGTTCACGATTCATGCTGGAAAATCTTCGAATGTGTTTCAAAACTTCGATTGGGGAGGGTTGACCTCCAAGGATTCATGGCCCTTTGGCATGTAAGTGGCATCGACTATAGTATTTTACAATGTTGACTTGTTATTCTCTAGAGGTCTGCATGCTCAAATTGTGGTTTCCAAAATATTAAACAGGAAACCATAATAAAGGAGTGTAAACAGCAGTGGTGGAATTATGTTCCTGGCTCGGAAGTGCGTTTTCAATCCCGAAAATATGAAGATAAAAATTAATATCTTGTTAGTTTCTTGCAGCCAATCCTCATGATATTCCGGGATTTTCCCTCATGATGTTAGAGGCATACAAACACCAGAATCCTTATAGTAAGAATAAGGGGGCTGTTTGGCGCAAGAAACAATTCAATGGAGATTTGTTGCAGCCATATGTGAACTCAACAGATCATTTCAACAAGCTTCCGATCGAACTCAAGCAAACAATATTATACGAACTTGGATCTAAGGATATCGCAAACCTCCGCCTAGTAAGTCGCGCATTTCGTCAACTTGACCACCAATTGTTCAGACATCTCCTTGTGAAGGAGCTTCCATGGTTCTGGGAGATCGATCATATTCAACAACGCAAGATGGAACAATTTCGAAAAATGCTCCTCGAACGATATGGAGAAGATCTCGCAGGACTGAGCGAAAAAGACGATTTTGAGTATGTGCAATTTATTAAAGATTGTGTCGCTATGAATCCACCAAGTTTTGTCTGGAAGCTAGTTTATGATCGGGTCAAACTTTTGCAGAAAAGTAACTTGGGAGTGAGGAATAGGGTGAGGGTATGGGGGCTAGCGGAGAGAATAGCGGAACGCATTGGTCATTTGAGAGGTATTGAAAGTCCCGGGAAAAGATACGATCAGAGGTACGATGAGGATGATTTGCAGGTCAAACCTACAGAGGAAGAAGTTGATAGTGGCGCTGTCAATCATGGGTACGAATGTAGTGAATGTAGTTATTACCAGATTGAGAGAATGGAAATATCGAGCGAATGCTAGATGAATAGGATAATCTCTATCTCATAGATTGCTTTACATTCAACAATAACTCAGTTTTTCGAGCCATTTGAATTACCTTATTGAAATCTAGGAATTGTTTCCACCTCATTGCCAGAATACAGGCCAGTCTATTGCAAACCCTTGAAGAACCTTGCGTACTCACCTCAGCTCTATAATCTTGCGATTTTCTTCTGGGTTATTGATCAAAGGTTTGATCCAGTACTTTTCCCCTCCTTTCTCTGATAGGCACGTAAGCGCTAACAACAAGCTTTTGGGTCGCCAATCTGCCAACGCAATCCTGCGGTAATGGAAGTCAGAGCTTGAGACAGGTATGTGTCTGCCTTTATCTGCAAGAATGAACAGAACTATTATCAGCATGATGGTAACCAAGCGCGAACAATTTTAACAATCCTCCAAAGCCCGCGGAAAATATACTCAAATCATCGAATACTCATCATTGGCCAGTAATCTGACAGTTGGAAGCACTGCCGACGAGCCCAGCGGCTATGGATGGTTGGTAGTCACCACGCTTTCATTTAAGACCTCAAGAAACTCATGTGTCTCTTGGCTTCAATTGTGGATTCTCCTTGCTGGACGCTTATTTTTCATCATACTAGATAATTTGCAGTCATTGTGGCTTTGTAATTATATCACCAAATCACTTCCTCGTCCCCATTCATCCCAAGATATCTGAATAGCTTTCCAAAATACTAATGTTCACCATGACATCACAATCTGATTCGAAACAACTGCCACTTCCTCATTCACCTGCATCAATGACACTACCACAAATCCCGTCTCCTATCCACACCGAACAACCAGTTCGTCAACATCCCTCGTCTCATGATTTCTGGGTATCACTGACTTTTTCTTTCCTAGAAACTAATCAACGAGATGACTCTATCACCAGGATCCGAATCTCCAGTAAACTTAAGAGGAGGTGGACGTCATAATCGACATCATCATTCTCATACAGGAAGAAAGTAAGTTCTTGCGATTTTCCGCTATTGGTAAACAAGAGAACATTTCATACTAAAGTCTTGTGAAAATAGTACTGCAATTGTGGGTGGTGTATGCTGTTGTGAATGTTGTGAATGCTGTTGCTGCATATGACAGAAAGGATGAAAGGGAAAGTAAGGTTATAAGGATTTCGGGATAAATTGCATTTCTTAAGTTAAGGGATGGGATTCTGGTAATGGAAAGATATTTTAGATTAGCTAGCTAAACTTTAATATTCCACTTGGAAGATCGAATGCTAGAATTGACCAAGATGTCGGCGTGGTTTAAAGTGAGTTTTGGATGTCAAAGGCTGGGTGCCTTCACATTTTTGGAAGGATGAAGAGAAAAGTAGAAGAGCCACATTTCATACTTTAACTACTCAAGTAATAAGAAAGTTCCAGTGGCTTGAGATAACAAGAATTGCAAGGTGATCATTGTGAAAGTACATCACAACTCTCACAGAGGGTCTACCAAGTCCATATTCACGTGATTCCACCAAAATACTCTCCCCCCACGCTTCAAACCTCACACGAGAAACAATTTTCAACGCAACAGAACCGCTGCCCTGGAAGTGCTCGCGAGATGGATCGAGCAAGTGCGCCTTAAGACTTCCGTCTTTGGAGTAACTCCAGTCCACTCGAATTTGGGGCTTGCGCGGCTTTCTCGCTCGCGATGGAGGTAAAGTTGAGATTGAACAAGGCAATATTTATCTATACCCATGATATCTAAATACCCTTCTTGGAAGCTGGAATTTGATGGTGTCCGATAGGTCAACTATTACATTGCAACCTGCAATCAAAAATCAGGTCGTGGTCGACAAACGCTGTGGATTGAAACCAACCCATCACGTGGATCAGCTGCCACTTGGTTAAGTAACCATCATATCATGATGACTTGATGTTTGCTCAACAAATTCGTCATTTAATAATTAAAACCGGGGTATCAACAGCTCAGAGTGAGCTGGGTGTGAAAAATCAATCATTCGATCACTGTCACGTGATTTTTATGAGATGACTTGATTGATCTATCTAGTTCATGGAGAAGGGGATCATCAGCGAGGCAGAAGAATTACTAGTAGCAAATCATTTATACTGGAATTGCATGATTATTTTATTACCGAATGCACTCATCAGATTATTCCCAGACCTTGGGGTTTGCTGCCACTCGTTGCATGGTTTTGTCAATGCCTCTTTCTTCAACAATTGCTTCAATCCTACCCATTGGATCGTTAGAGCACCAGTGAGCTCATCTTATTATGCTCAAACTTGTTGCAGATTGTTAAAAGTGCTATGATGATGTTGCTTTGTTATCTCACGATGTATGACGAATTTTCACATTGCAGATAGGTCAAGGCTGAATAGGTGTGGAAGAATTCTTATAATTTTTTGGTGTAATGTTGCAGAGAATCTGATGTCATTCTCTGCAAGTTACAGTTCATTATTGTACTGAAAACTAACTAATAAAAGATAAGAAATGGCATTCCTGCCATGTGCTTGTAATTCAGCAACTGTATACCAAAACGTGTCTTGGTGAAGAAGCTTCCTCTAGACTTGTTGCCAAGCAGTCTTGGTTGAGGCCAGTTCGCAAAAGTTAAGAGCCATCAAGGATATTTCCTGTCGTTACTACACCCGATCTCTACAAATCATATCCCAAAGACTTTCGAGCTGGCATCGGCACGAATCATCGATGATTACTGACTTCCACCAACAACAGGATCTACTTTGGTTGGGAGTGAGCCAATTTCGGTTGGGCCGGCTTTGATCGAGGCGACTTTGGTTGATTTAGAAACTCAGTCTTGTAGACACCCGACAATCTACGGCCGAACTCAGAATAATCAGTGACTTTTACGTAGTCACCTTCGAATCCGCGGAGCTCGTAGGTTAGCTTCCAGTTCTTGCGCGTCAAGCCCCACAAGCCTGCAGCCAACTTCATTTGAGGAAAGTTATAGGTGTCAAGGTACATGTTGACATCAAGATAGGTCCATCTAAACTTGTTGATGATGGCATAGAAGGTCTTCATCTTTTCGAGTCGATTGACGACCTTTTCACGAACCTCAAAGTGAGGTGTAGGGGTGTGAATTTCGATTGCCATCTTTGTGACATGAGCCTCGTAGTGAGGCAAGACTTGGAGGAGCGTAGTCATATCTGTGCCGTTGACAATTCGGATGCCAATCTCCTTGTCACCGAGAATCGTAATGGCGGGGTGAGCGGGCAGTGTATTCATGTTGAAAGGTATAGCTGCAAGAGCCTTCGCAGCATCGAATGCGATCTTTTGCTTCTCGGCAATCTCTGCGAAAAGGCAGCAGATGGTCGGGCTTGAGCCGCATTTCCTCGAGCGTTTTTATTTCCCATGATGATGATGAGAAGAAGAAGTATTGGTAGGGTAAGGAGTTTGATATGTGTTTGAGATAGGATGATCGAAAGTTGTGATGTTGGAATCGAAGAAGTCAAGTGATGATTAATCAGAAGATGATGTTGTAAGTAGAAAGGAGTTTTTGGGGAGAGAAACGTCAGTTCCTTAAGAGTTCAAATTCCGTCTGTACGGTCAGCCGCTAGCGTCTAGTGGCGATGGGTAACTGTAGTGTAGCACCTTAAGCGAGGCAAAAGAAACACGATTGATTGTCAGCCTGTAATAGGAGGTACGGCCAGATTAACAAGTGTTAAAGTTTCTTGGACTCGCCTTTAGCTATATTCACTGTGATTAACAGAATATATGTACACGGTCAGCGGTGACATCATTGTTATTCCTCTTTGGGCATTCAATAGTATCGATGCTTTTCAATTGTATCTTTTACGAGCACAAATTTATTAGTTTTACATAATCTCTTGTACATAAATAATATGATCTCATCACCTAATAAGATATATCTTGCCTATCTGACATGGATGATATATATGGTTTTAGTGGTATGCCTGTTTGTGCCCATAAAATTGCATTCTTGTACTCTAGTGCTCTATGATCATGCTTCTTACCGCATGGGGTCGATAGCAATTGCCTGCAAACCTGATGATTCTCTTACCTCCTGAAGGGTGGCATGTTAGACGTATAACTTTTGGTTCAGTCTGTGGTTTATCTATTGCCTTTCAATACAAGCATTTGGACATGACAAACCAAAGCAAAACCAACCAATTACCATGAGTATGCTGAGTCTAGCAATTAGAAGAATGGGACGAAGAATATCTAAAATCGCATCAGAATATTAAATGGAAGTTGTGTTTTCATCAGATGAAGTTCGATGTTTTTAGATAACCGAGTCGTTGTTTCTTATAAATCTGTTTTGGGTAGAGATGTCCGCGCTGCGTCCAATTTTAGGATGTATAAGCGAAAGTAGTAGTGACCATATCCTATGTCATTGGGTTTGCATTCAAGCTTCGAAATAAAATTATGGTTTTACAAATACAAGCACTTTCAGATTCACATTTTTTGGCAGGTAGAGAAATATGGCTTTGTAGCCAGAAATTTTTGTTAACGTCTGTCAGTTTGCTATAAGAAGCTATTACCAGCAACCCAGAGGGCCCTAAATCTATGACAAACAAAGTAGCAAAGAGCTTCCGCCAAGAGCACAACGCAGTCATTCCGAAACACTAATATTTTTTCCAACCCCCACCCGAAACACCAAAACTGCCCCCGCCCCATTTAAGGCCTGGTAATACCATCTGTAATCTATGCCTGAGCGAGAAATTCCTTCTTCCAGACACCACGAAGTCTCAAATCATACTCGCTACCGCGGAAGATTTGAATTGGATCATCGTCAATCTCATTAGCCTCATTGTAAACCTGGTAGAACAACTGCCACTTCTCTGTGCACGTATTAGTATTTGTCTGTCAATAGGAGCCTGCTAGAACTTACTGGATCTCAATCCGTGAATCGCAGCGCCCAACTTCATCTGGGGAAAGTTATCCTTATCAACGGACATCGTAACTCTGAGCTTGTATAAATTGAAGCCATCGATAATGGCGAATAGCTTCTTCATAGAGCTAACGCTGTTGTTGTAGGCCTCCTTGGACTGAGTGTGAGGCCATGGAGCATGAATCTTGATGGACAATTTCTTGATTGTCTTATACTCCGTCAAGGCGGCGCAAAGAGCCACCATATCGGTGGGTGCATCATCCATGAATCCACACATCTCAATGTAGATTGTGATTTCCTTGTTGCTAATGATGGCAATTGCCGGGTTCTGGGTCAATGTATCGAGATCGACGATCGGCTGAGGCTTGTGCTTAGCCGCAGCGGCGAGGAAAGGATTGGCGGTCTTATCCTTCTTGAAAAAGGCTGCGGCTGATGGACGCATAGCAGGAGCTGCGTTATTGATGATCTTGTTCTTGTTGAGAGAAGATGCAACATCAGGCTGCATGGCTGGAATTACATTACCAGCGACCTTCTTCTTCTCGAAGAAAGCAGTAGTAGAGGGGCGCATAGCCAGAGTTGCGTCACTGATGGGGGTTTTGCTTCCCATTTTGAATTATGACGAGTTGAGTGATTGATAAGTTTGGTAAATCTGAATAAGAACGAATTTAGAGACTATTGAAGAAGTCTAAAATGAAGAATTGTTGACTTTTTGTTGAACTTTGGGGATTGTCAATCAGAGAAAGGTGTTTTTAAGGAGATGTAGCAAGGAAGAAGGAATCGTTTCTCCAGAACAGAAGAACCCTTAAGTAGCCTTTCTCCAAAGCAATCGACTGCGACTAGTGTCTAGTACCATCTGTATATACAGCATTACGGCCAGAATATGATATCATACAGCAGAGCTCCCTACTAGAACTCAAGGAATTGAATGCGCTATGGTGAATATCCAGTTCGCTTAATTAAAATGGTTTATAGTACGGCAGGGGCTCTACGTAAGCAAAAAAACAGGCGGGAATTGACTACCATTCGAAAGACCTTCAACAACTAAGATCTCTTTTCGATATAATATTAAATAATAAAACTATTTACTATCAATACAAAGAAGACTCAAATTTTCGTTTGCTTTTTTAAAATTTCAACATTTAATTTGAAATGAATTTATAATCTATTAAAAAAGTCCTTTGAAAAGATACTCAATTTCCGTCTGTTTTTTCGCTTAAGTAAAGAGGGGGTTTCAAGTGAATTTCACTAGACAAGCCTATAAGCGAGCCGATATCAGCTCGATACTGTAGTTTATTCATCACTCTTGAGATTATGTAATTCGGAGACGAAGATCAAAAAAACCATCTTGCGGCTTGAAAAGATTAGGCATTCAAGACTTGGAGGCTAAATCCACGAGGATTGGGTCTCATAGAACGTTCTACTTGAAGACGTGATTTGGGTTCATTTTATAGAATTCGTGATTTTGGTAAATGAGGTGCATCACATTCATATGTAGAGTTGAAATTGTTATATATTGAAAAATGGAATATTATTGAGAATTTAAAACAAGTATCCGATGTCTGAAGTCAAGCTAGCGATTTTATTCAGAACATTCAAGAGCTCACGTGTAAGAACCAATATCACCTAAGTAAAATTATGCTTGTCGACCCGTCCTCACGGCAGTGAAACGCTTGATGTCCTGGAAATCGTTTAACATAGACATGATACTTTGGATGGTCTCTCTGCGTTGATAACCCTCGTCAGTGTCTGTCTCTGAAAGTTCGTCGTGGAATCTGATATGAATAAAGCGTGTGAAGTTGTCATACTCTGGGAGTACTTCCATTAGAGTTGGAACGTGTGTAGACTCCTGACCAATTTTGGAATGGAAATTGACATTAACAATCAACATTTGGCCAAAGAGCTTGACTGCTGGGTGGGGATGGAGCATTGCTCGATCTCTGCTAGTCTGATCTCTCCCGATCTGCTTTACCTTTTCCTTGCTAATCTGGTTGCTACATTTTTGCTGAGATTCTGATGTTGTTTGAAGTGGTTCAATAGGCTCGATGTTTTCTCTAGTAGAGCCAATCTGGAAAGACCAACCCATGTTGAACATTGACCAATCCTTGTGGGAAGACGACATAATGTAGAATTGAATCGGAATTGCTGACTGAAATTATAGTTGGTGATATTTGATACTGCGGAGTAGTGCTGTTTGATAATCTGTAAAGTCATGACGATCACACGGTATTTGTACCATGAGTTTACTTGACAATGTAATTGTTCAAAAAGTATTACTACCTTGTTGCTCTTGGTCCTTGTTGACTGCTCAAAGAATAATCTATTGTTTGGACTATCCTACTACCTCTTCTATCCCATTCTAACTCTTCCCTTTGTTTTCGTGGAGCATTCTTTGTGGGTTTTTACAAGTCTTTGTTAGGAACACAACAGATAGATTTACCGACAGAAGTATTTCTGCCTCTATTGGAAAGAGTGTCTTGCGTATCCTTGAGCCTTGATTATCTAGGTTTCTGTTGAAGAGAGTCTCTAACGACTCCTTGTTAGCTTGGAGATTTAGGTGATCGAAGAGCTGCGTAGAAAGTACGTAGAAAGTATTAAAGTTCACGGTCAAACAATCCATCACCTAGCAACCCTAAATCATCAGAGATACACCCGTTATCTAAGAATGAAAGAGAGGTGATAGATGTGTTAATATAGTGCCACATGGTATATGCTAATACATATAAACAGAATTGCACCAAAGAAGACACAAGATTTTCCCAATTTTCATGACAAACTGTTGAAATTCTTCCTAAGTTCGTAAAAATTTATCAATTTGCCCCGCCATTCCGCCGATTTTATGAAGCCCAAGCCGATTCCCAAAAGAACATAAGCCGAGGCAAAAGACATCTTGCCTCCAGCTCGATGGCAATCCCCCTCAAATACTCAAACTCCTTCAACGATATGCCCCCTCATTATAATCATTTATACCATACAATCTCTGTGGTATACACTACGAAGGCGCCTCATGAGGTAACCCTCTGTGTTGATTCCGAAAAGAACAGGTCTGTCTTCAACGTAGTAGCTCAAACTCCAGTGCGCCTTTAAAGCTAAGAAGCAAGCTGCTAATTTAATTTGCTGGAAGTTGGAAAAGTCTAACTCGAGTCGGACATTGATATGGCTAAGATTAGTGAAGGAATCGTTGATTTTGTCGACTAATGACATCATCGCAGAAACATGCTGCGTGTAGATGGTAGGGCTTTCCCAGCGACGAATGATTCGTGGGTGAATAAGAAGGTCGATTTTAGCCGCCCATGGACCATATCCAACTACACGGTCGGTCAAGATAGCCATATAAGTAGCAGTCTCTTCCTGTGTGTTGTCTTCGTTGTATGCGATGGTTATTTGCAAGGATTGTGTACCTTCTAACCAATAGAGCGACTCGTGTTCTTCGACAAATGAAGGTGGCTTGGGAAGTATTGGAGGAAGATTGGCCTTCTTAGCTTGGGTATTCCTGTTTGCCATGGCTTCTGAGAGAATCTTTAGCATTATGAGACTAAGTGATATTTATTTTACGAAGGGATCTGACTTGCCAGTGGGTTCACTTGAGTCAAATACCGATCTCCGTATATTGCTCTTGAGAATGAACAAAGTAGGAGAAAGTAAGATTTCACACGCACAAAAGAAGAAGTTTTATAGTCGCCAGAAAAGATCATATCAAATAAATGAAGATAGATCTAGAATTCGTTGGATCACAATATGTTGCCGTAGCCGTTGAGTTATTTGTTGTCCAACCGCAAAATCTCCATTATTACCTACCCTATAGAAAAACCAATTACAAGTAACTCCATCGGCAAAACGATTTTGGAAATGCCAAATTCTAGAAATGTCAATAGATTTCTCAGAAGTAACTAGATCCAATTAAATAATTATCCTCCCGCAGATAATAGCTTCGACCAATGGAATGTTTGATCGTACAGGCCATAGAGAGACATTTGGAACCGTTACAAAGAGTCATATAAAGATGAAACAAGATCATGAATCTACTAAAGTCTCGATGATACCTATTTAATAAATTTTAGACATGAGATGGACCATCTCTTGCACTACATAATGAATGTAGCTCTGAAAGATATCTTCTACTCTGAAATAGCCCAAAACTTTATAGTACGCAGCCTCCTTCAATACCAATGATTTTCATAGTGAGTATGCCATTAGACATACTAATTCCAATTTTAACAATTCGGCAACAGCACAGAGTACCCAAATGCTCTATGTCACTCCACAAAAAAGGCCATCTCCATATGAGCGGCCTTGTTCTCCACATTTGTTTCGAGAACAAGTAGTTCTGACTAGCCTATTCTACCATTTACAAAACACACAACTTCTGAAAAGCATCTGAACAATATCCCAACATGCATCCCAGAATAAGTATATATACTTCTTAGTTGCATTGATTGTTTTATAATTCTTCAGCTGCTTTCACACACACACACACACACCCCCTACACAAACACAACAACAAGCAAAACTCCAGCTTTCAACACATAACTTATCATCATGTCTACTTCATACACCAACACCAAGTATTCGTGCGGACATGTTGTAGAAAAAGAAGCAGCAACCCGACAAGCAAGCGAGGAGCCTTCGGCAGAGCTCAAGAGGTCATTGACACGCGCTTTGACTGGGAAAGTCAAGAAAGGATTGAGGCGTGTTCTCACCCTAGGAGCTGCCAAACCCACCATGCGTTATTCCAGATTGAAGTGCCCAGCTTGTGCCCGCGAGGTCACTGCTACCTTCAAATCTGACAAATACGTAGGATGGGTGGACGAACTCCCAGATCCAAGCCGAGACAGCTCCCAACCCGAGGAACCCGATTTCGAAGTTCGCCACAACGATGAGATCCTCAGACAAGAAATCCTCTCGCAAGAACAACTCGCACCTTTGGAGACCACCAGTGACTGGCGTCGTGAACAAGCTCGTCTTCTCCTCAGGGCTGTCCACCAAGAAACCCAGCGTCGCGAAGCTACCCAACAGGATCAAAATCGAGCGAACACACTCGCTACTCTCGAAGGACGTCCTAGCATCCAACACCGCCCCACCCTGCCCCTCGGGGGCAATTGGGATCCCAAGGAGGAGGATTCGCGATCCCAATTCGAAGAGCTCGACCTCTTCGGCTACGTTTCTTCCGACCCCGAGACCGAGTGAAATCCGAGATCGAGGACGCAAGTTGAGTGTGTGAGGTGTTTCACTGACAATGACAGGATCATCCAAGCCTCTCAGAATGGAGAAATTCTGAAGGTTTGAGATCACTCAACTCTGTCGAACACAGATTAGCAGAAGATGTTCTGTTCAACACAGATCATCAGACTGCTATGCCTAATAAAATCGATAAATGCAGATTCATTCAACATACAATACGAGTAATTCAAAGTGACTAACAACAAGTGAGTAAATAACCAATCCTTCCCCGTGAACACAGAACACTTGAAAACTAATCGATCATTAGCAAATCTTCCGAAAAAAAATACTGTTGGAACAATGTTATTGAATCAAAGCTGACCCATCTAGTACCCAGAAAGAGTATTGTCAGATTAATATCTATAATCATATTCGAGAACATTCTTAGAA